TATCTTTGAAAAAGCCTTAAGAAACAATAGATGTATACCTTAGACTTCTTCAATCGTGATTTGTTATCAGCACACCATGCTAAGGCAGGCGCTACCTCTTTATTTCTAAGTGCATCGATAACTTTCTTCGCTTCTTGAAAAATATCAATGTCAACAAGATCCTGGCACATAAAAAATTCCCATAAGTATCATTATATTTGCATGACGAGATAAAAGTAAAACATACTTCCAGTTCCAACCACACAACAAAAAATTCTGTCCTTTCAAATAAAGGGGACTTGTTGAACATAGACACTAGATTTTGTTGTTTTGGTAATCTTGGGTTTTCTATAGATCAGGAAGGTTGTTTTAACCTAATAACATTTAGTCCTTAATTAGCTTACCTAAGTTGTTCTGTAGCTTAAAAATTAATTAATAACCCTCTTATCCTCCGATACCTATCATTCTTCCTCTTCTACTTATTTTTCTCCGTCGTCTCACTCTCACTCTTTTCCATCTCCTCTGCTATACTCTTCTCCTCTTCTCAGGTTCGTATTCCAGGAACATGAGAAAATGTTATTAGAGCAATTGCTCATTGGCCATGGCAGTGATTCATCTCAACATCCCTGAAGTCCAGTATTGCAATTATTGATATTTGCTCAATCTGGAACTCTAAATTCAAGAATTCCAAAAGAAATTTTCAAAACCGTGAGGTTAATAACCTTCAGTAGCATGAACTTCAGCTTGAGCAGCTAACGTCTCTGCAAGAAAGCTGATGCATGTCAACACAAAAACTTGAGAAAACTTGAGACCTTGAAGGGTATGCTACATACGGTGACTAGAGATTCAGCTCCTCCCCTTCAGTTATCTACATATGGTTGACACAAAAACTTAATGACTTCATGGGTATGCAAAAAACAGTGAAGCCTTGTTATCTAGGTTGGATGCTAAAACTTTAGGAGATAATTTTAGTGGTGGGGTTGTCAATGTATGGCACTCAAAGGGCAAAGGGGAAATGATAATGGATGATATGCAAACTAAGAGCGAGATTCAACTTTTTGAAAATACGTTGGAGAATCGTACATACAAAGTACTTATGAAAGTTCACAATAAAACGGATGGTTCGGGGATTATGTTGAGTTGGAAATTCTTGTAATATAGGATGATGGATTCCTTCGGAATCAGTTGTGTTATGTGTACAAGGGTAGTGGATTTCTTCTAATTGATACTTGGATGAATTTGAAATCTCATTCATATAAGTTAGCTAGGATGACTTGGAATGGAATGTTTTAGCTAGGTTCAAAACTAGGGTATTATCGGCTCTGGAAAAATTGTTTTCGTACTAGGCTGGCTGCATTCATTTTTTTAACAATTTTTTGTGGTTATATCACTAATTTCATCCTGGTAGCTTCCGCTGCATTAGACACTATGACCCTAAAAAATCCATCAGAAAACTTGATTCTCAAGTTTCAGCTGATGGAGAGTTTGAATTGGGATTTTTAAGGCCTGGTAGAAAAGAGGCATATGATGCAAGAAGCCAACTACGAAAAAATAATCATATGAATAGTCATCAGAGAAACTCCACTCTCTGATCTTCATGTAGCACTAAATGTTACCATGGAAGGACACTTAATCCTACTTAACCGTGGAAATGGCATTGTTTGGTCATGAAACATATGAACAACCGTAGCAAATATACTCTAAAAACTCCTGGAACAGGGAAAACTTGTCATGGAATAAGTGATAGTAACCATAGAGATCATTCACGTGGCAGAGTTTCAACTACACATCTTCCACATAGCTAGCAGATATGAAACTTGGAAGGAACTTTAACACTAGTCTGGAAAGCTCCTTGTCTCCTTGGAAAACTGCAGAAGATCCCTGTCCAAGCCAATTTTCTTCCCCGGTAGATGCTAGCAAGTATCTATAACTTGTCATTAGGAATATATCTGCGGTATATTATAGATTAGGATCTTGCACTAGTATTTTAAAGGCAATTCTGAGGTGAAACAAAGATTTCCAGGGGCAAGAATCAAACACAGGGCTCTGCTGTATGATGCACCACATGCATCCTTGTTGGTTGCCAGTTGCAACATCAACAAGGATCCTTCAGTATGAGTCCGTTAGGCTGGATTTGTACCAAAATCTCTTAAAGATTGGAGCATCACAAGATGGCCTGCTGGATTTATAAAAATGAACAATCGTTGGTAGAATGAGTTTGGATCAGTCACTTTTAATCTAGAAGTCTGAAGCCAAGGTGAGGCAGTTGAATACAAGTTGATAGAATAGACCCCATCAATTATTCAAGAATGCGGAAACTACTTCCTGAAGGAACTCCTCGTGAACATTGTTCCTATACCTTGAAGTTTAGATGGCGTAAAGAGGTAAGAAGTCACAAATTTTTAATATAAGATTATGTGCTATTTAATAATCTATTAATATAGTTTCAGTAACTTAAGGATTTTCTTTTTAGTATTTTAGTTCTTATTTGTATTAGTAGTATTGCTTCTCTTTTGGTCTTTTGTTTCTTATTTTTATCAGTAGTATAATTTCTTAATTTCATTAGGATTAGTATGTCTTAGCTTAATGCTATCGATGAAATATTACTTATGAAGCATCTATAAATACCTCTGCAATTTTACTTTTGGAGACAAACTTCAGTTATTTAATTAAAAAAAATTAAAAGTTTTTTAATTTTTTTGTTGCATCATGCAATCAAACCCTTAAGTATGATACTTAAACTACGTGTATTGTCTAAGTTTTTATCCTGAAATGCCTAAGGGAGCAGATAAACTCTGATTTGTCCTACATCAGTTGGTGTCCAAACTAGAATGATCATATACTCAAAATCTCAAACATTAAACCCAACAGCCTGAAACCCATCTAAAACCAAAAGTAAATTTTAAAATCACAACAACAAAACTGAAAGCAGAAAACCGCAAACCACAACCTTAACTCAGTCTAACTAAAGCCATCCTGGACAATGGCCACTGTTATCGATACAACTGCCATCACGAGCATCAGAAGATCCCAATTTGTAACCCCCAAAATCCACACAGAGAACACCAATACAACATGCACCACTTGCTGCTGCAAGCTCTCCAACCATTGCTTCCAGCTGATGCAGACGGGTTATGCCTATAGGTTGGAAACTATGATTCTTTTAAGTGTAAAATTACTATGCTATTTAGGACTATAACATTATAATTTTTGATAATTTTAGAATTTTATTCTTTGTAATATTTACTTTTCCTATTTGTATTAGAATTAATATTATAATTTTTTTAGTATTAGTATCCCCATTTTTTTAGAAGTAATATTTTTAAATTAGTTTTGGTATTTCCTTATCTAGTTATGAAAGAATTACAAAGGGCATTGTCAGGATCTAGGGATGGTAGGGATATTGTCTGAGAGACAAATTATATTTACCTTTTTGGGAATTTTAGATTTGCTACTGGTTAGGAGGATTGTTTTAATTAGTGAAGTTAGTCTTTAATTAGTTTATCTAAATTGCTTTAACTGGCTTGAATATCAACTATATAAGATGAAACTTGGTCATTTCTTACCAATCAATCGACATCACTGAAAAATATCGTCTCTCTACAGAGTCTCTTTCCCTCTATGTACTTTACTCTTTTTCCCTAATTCCCATCGGCTTCTACCCCTTTCTTTCCTCATTCTTCTCTCTTTCTTTGTCCTCTGCCTCTCTTCTCTTCTATTTTCTTCTTCTGGAATCTCACAACCCAAAGAAGGAGAAGTATATATGAACTTCAAACCCATAAAGCAAGATCGCAACTACCAGCCATAAGCTTGGAAAACCATCAAAAGATAATTTTTTAAAGAATTTACCAAAACTTCTTAGACTGTGTTTTAATAATTTCTCAAGAATAAGCTCATAGAAGCTTATCTCACAAAGTCTGAGATATCATTAACTGTACCAAAAACAGCACAATGAAGAACCATCATTCAGCAGCATATAAAACTACATCAAGCATATAAAATTGCCTGTATATCACTGCCCGTTGCAAGAGTTGTGGCAGTGTCATAATATGACATTCGCAACATGTAGTCTACAAGAATCCGCTTCAATCTTGTGTCACTCCATTCTGACAAATTTTCTGCATCTGCTGATTCCAAGTGATCAAGCCGAGCCCGACACCTCTGTGCTTGCAAGTTCTCCAAACGGCTTCCCTCTTCCAACTGGAAGACATAAATAACTTTATGTTAATATATGCCAAACCACGAGATAAGGTCAAAATTAGTGATCATCTCCCAGTCTCCTCATAGGAGAGGCTTAAATTAAGGCTTGGCTAGTTGAATGTCCCCTTCCCAAAAACAAAAAAAAAAAAAGACAAAGAAAAAGAGAATCCTTCATCGTTTTCCGTAAATGTATAAATAGTTAATCAGATTGATCATTTTTAACAATAACTGAACCCTGGTGGGGAAATTCCATTACACGTAAAACCTGAAATTCTTAACCAACTTATTGTAGCCAATCAACCAAAGTAATCAATCAAGACGATAACTTCAGTAAGATCATATTAAGTTATAACAGTTATCTACCAAATAAAATGGAAAATTCTCCGGCCAAGATCCCTCAAGAATGACTAATTTTAATCGATAAAGCTATATCAATCACTAAACAATCAAAAATGTCTTGCAACGAGAGACAATTCCATCCATTGAACAACTCACCAGTAGAACCATGCCTTGAGTATGTATTTGAGATTCTAACAGTTTCTATTTTTTATACTGATTAACTATCAAGAAATCCCTATACTACCATGCAAAAACATCTTAATCACTACTGAAGCATGAGCAATCAAAGACAGTGAACTGACTTGAAAATACTTGAAAATCAAAGAAAAGAAATCTAAAGTAGATTCATGAACTTCAATTGTGGTTGCCCACTGAAATCATTATCACCGTAAAGATCTTCCTGTCTAACTACTAAACCACTAATCCAAAAAACTGAACTGGAACCATAAAAGTCTTCTTTTTTTTTTTTTTTCTTGATCTTGAATTCGAATCATACAAGTTAAAAAGCATTAATCACAGAATTGTTTTCCTAACAAGATCCATCACAATTAACTTCTGAAAATCTCGCTAATTTATATATAACCCTATTAACCGCGATCAAATTGACTGAGTACTAAACATAAAATGTACCCTTAAATAGAATTCACTGTATAATCCATCAAAACAAACACTTTACTTCAGAAATTAAGTTATAATCTAAAATTCAAAAAAAAAAAAGAAGTCTTGAATTGGATTCCTATATTTTCTTTTCGTTTCTTTGTAAACTCGGCGTGCATGTCTCTCGACATTTACTTCAGTACCTTTCTTTTGAGACCTTGCAAACGAGAGACGAGATTAGTGAGGTGCGAAACGGCGTCGTCCTTGGATAACTCTGATTCGACGACATCAGAGACGCCAGAAATTACAGAGGATACCTCTTTCTCGACGGCTCGGTGGTTAGCCCGGATAGTCTTCTTGTAGTGCTCGAAGGGGACACGAAGGAGCTGGTGCTCCAGCTTCAACGACTCCGTTAGTTGGCTGAGTTTCGACGAATGAATCGTCGTCGTCGCGGTAGTTGTAGGTACCGGAGTTTCCACAACGGCGTTGGCCGTTCCGTTGGGGAGAGAATCGATTTCCATTGGGGAGAGAGAGTTAAGGGGGTGTAATCCGTAGGCGGAGGAAAAAATGAGTGAGAAATCAGATGAGACTACTGGATGTGAAATGGGAATGATCTGATTGCTCTGTTAAGATGAAACGACATCGTCTTGAGCAGAGAGAGAATTTTGTTCTTGATTTATTTTTGGTTTTTTATAAATGTAATGAAAGTTATTATAATTTATAAAAATCATTTAGCTCGATTAATCTAATATAAACATCTTCTTCACAATAAGATTATAAACATCTTATTTTATTTTATTTTATTTAAATATATTTTAAGTTAATAATTTTTAAATTTATTATTAAACTTTTTATAATTTAAAAATTATTATTTTATTTTAATGTCAAATAATTAATAATTAAAATATTCACGTAAAATATTTTTTTTTACAATAATATATTGTTTCTAAAATTATTCAATAAAAAATATATTTTATGATGAGTGAATATTTTTTGAAATTATCCAAATAAGATAAATTCTACTTTAAACAAACATGAAAATATAATCTTATAAATAAATCATATATCCATTGTGGTAATTATTTGTTCAACACAAACAACAAAATAAAAATTAACATTTGAGAGCTATAGTAAGTTATATTATAAAAAAATTATATTTCTGTCCTAACTAAATACTAAAACTAAATTTTCAATTATACTTTTATCATATATACTTCTTATAAAATAATTGAAAATTAAATTAAAAAAAAAAAACTAGTTCTTAATATAAAATTAAAAATGTGTCAACCCTTGAATTTTCTGGTTAATTAAAAACTAGTTCTTAATATAAAGTTAAGTTAACAAATTTACTTATCCAAATGTTGTTTTGTCATTGTTTTTCATACTATAACTCTCTCTCTCTCTCTCTCTCTCTCTCTCTCTCTCTCTCTCTCTCTCTTATTATTCTTGAAACAAATTGTAAAAAATGGATAATATTATTCTTTAAAATACTTTAATTGTGCATATTGGGCATGGAAATTTTAAATTTAATATTAGTAAAAAGCTACTGTAATAATTAAACATAATAAAAATTATATGATTAATTAATCATATAACATGTTATCAAATAAAAAGAACGATAATAATAACAGGTGCCCCAAACATTCAATTGTACTTATATTCTAAACCGAACAGACACCGCATTACTATATAATTGATCAAATACATGAATGAATCAATATCTCATAATACATAATCTAATACACACAGTATTAAACATTAAATACAATATGAATATATACAACACATACTCGACTTAATAGTACTAAAACTATGTAGTTGTGTTCTATATAAATATTAATATAAATGATATACATGGTTAGCACAAAGTTTACTAGTAGTAATTATCATAATGCAAGAAAAATATTTTGATCACTCAACAAATATGGATATGGGAGAATTATTGTAACGGCCCCAGAAATTTAAGTGAAGATGTATGTATTAAAAATTTTAAATGCGGAAGCGAAATAAAAATTATGATTAACATCCTTTACACAATAACCAAAAATGTATTCAGCATGTGAAAGAATAAGCTGATCAAAAGAAATACTCGAAATAAAAACTATAAATAGAACTATAAAGTCTTTAGGCGTATAACTCGCCGTCTTCCTGTGGAACGGGCTCGGGAACCACGTCTTCCTAATCTGAAATAGTTAAATAAGGAATGAGTTACACTAGCCCAGTAAAGACATCACATTATCTCACTGCCACAGAAGTAAAGGTTGGTAAAAAACAAAAACGACCAATGGAACATAATTTATGACAAACTCATTTATTAATGATAAAAACCTTTACTGTCCACTTACCTCGGTGAGATTCGTGAAAATAACATATGAAAACAATAACATTATAACCATCATAAAATCATATACACTTAGTAACATAGCACATGTCATACTTTTATACTTCAATAATCAGACAACAAATTTCCTCTTTTACCAGCCTACTAGTATCCATGGGGGTCCATAGGGGGTCTCCGCTACACGTGAACCATTAACATTAATAATCTGATTCCAGGGCCGTCCCCATACCTCGTCCGGTATGGGTGCCAAAACCATGAACCTCAATACCCCGTCCGGTATGAGGGTGAAACGGGTCGTCCCCATACCCCGTCCGGTATGAGCGCCAAAACACATAAGGTCTCCATACCCCGTCCGATATGAGAGACCACGTTCTCGGTAGGGTTCCCTATGGATCCGGTCCATCCACCATCTCCCAGGATATCTAGTCAGGCTGTCCACATTATCCACTTATCAATTCACATAACATTTTTTCCATTTTTTTTGTCTCAATCATCCAATCATACACAAACACGTAAACCAATAATGAACACCAAACAAAACAATACAACATCGGGTTCACAATAATTCAAACCATAATAAAAGAAATCATAATTCATGCATATGTAACCATAAAATAAACATATCAGATACATTTAAAACTGAAAAACAGATCAAACAACAACTGACCGAAAGTACATAATATTCGGGCTCCATTAATAACCTTAATTAATTATACATATGTATTAATTCATGAAATGCCGTTTTATTATTTATTGTGCTTTAATACCGTGATAGAAAATAGGGTGAGAAGTTCTTACTTGTTTCGGGGTCTGAAATCGACTCTACTATGCGCATATGGCTGCCTCTAGATTCCCTGAATTTTTTCTGGAAAACTGAAACGCACTACCAGTACCTGCACATGTCCCAAAAAACCCCAAATCAGACCCATGGCCCCTTTTCGGCCAATATTGAAATTCTGGCACGGCGACTCTGTCGTGCTCTGACGACGGCACCACCGCCTGAGGAGGCAATTCGCCTCGGGTTGGCCGTTTTCTTTCATTTTCAACCGAATTCGGCCAAACTTGCATTGGTTCCTGCAATAAAACAACCCTAGGGCCCTCGGTAGGCCAAAAAATTACAAAAAATCGAGACTTACTGGTGGTGGAACTCTCGGGTACGGCGGCTTCTTCGGCGCGAGTCGCGGTTTGATGTTTTGCTCCGGTCAACCTGTAGAGAAAATGACGGTGATCACAGTGGTGTAAAAATTACATCGAACGGGAACCGGAAAGGGACTCATCGGAGGCAAAAATTGAGGGAAGCTGCGGCGGCGCCGCTGGACTTCGACAGTATTTTCCGACCGATTAGCCGGTGGTTTGGCTCCGATTTGGCTATAGGCAGATTCAGTATCGAAAAACGAGCCAAGGAGAGAAAATTTACCTCGTTTGGTGGTCGTAAAACCCTCCAGTACGGCAGCGGGTGGCGGCGGCCGGCTCCTCCGGCGACTAGTTCTTCTTCTTCGGCGAGGGTACTGGCGGCTAGGGTTTGGGGTCGGGTGTGGGTGAGGTTATTTATAACATTCCTCTTTTAATCTCAGTCGTCCATCACGATTTAATCTGAGCCGTCCGATCGCGATTAAAATGAGAATAAATCTGGACCGTCCATCCCGATGCGATCTGGGCCGTCCGTGCGTGTGAGATCTGGGTCGTCCGTACGCATGAGATCTGGACTGTTCGATCGCGTGCACGCGGATCGCTCACGTGGCTCCGTCTCGCGTGGCCTCCCGCATCAGCTTCCTTGCCACGCGGCGTGTTCTAGTTGGCCGGGACTGCTGACTGGGCTGCTGACGTGGCACAACTTTCTTAAATTACGTTTTGACCCCTGATTTCTGATTTTCCTTTCAAAAACACCCCCATAATCCAAATTTTCACCCTTTTTTTTCCAAAATCAATTTCAATTAAATTTCAAAAATAATTTTACTATATTTTATCATTATTATTATTTTTATTTCTATTAAACTAAATTGAATTAAGTTAACCACATAATTATTACAAAATAAATTAACCATTAAAATTAAAAAAAAAAGATTCTAATACCCAAAAATAAAAAATTTATTTTTAGGGTGTTACAATTATGATGTAACATCCCAAACTCGAGATTTAGACTCGAAATAATAAAATTTAATATTTCAAATAATAATAAAAATTATAGAGTTTAATTTTAATTATTTTTTTGAGATATATAGATATTGAATAAATTTGAAAATAATTTTAGAAAGCATGACGTAACTGTAAATAAATAGAGTGTATTTAAAAGAAAAATTTGAAAACATGGGTCAAATTATAAAAAGGGGAACTACGTGTCACGTAAGACGACCACGTCAGCAGCACAGCGAGTTAGAATACATTATGTGGTCGACATGTTGGCAGAAGCTCCACGCAGGAGCCACACAGGCAATTTGCGTATTAGGGCGATCTAATGGCTCGTGTTCACTCTCGCGCGCACAAACTGTCTGGATTGATTCTCGAAATAGGCTTCGATCGAACGGCTCTTAACGCCCCACGCAAACCTTGATGGATGGCCTAGATCGATTTCTTAAACATGCATGATTAGATGGCCAGCGTACTTCTACATCCCCCAGAATGGACGACTGAGATCGATTGAAGAGAGATATTTAAAAATTTCTTTCATCAAAACCCTAACCTTAGCCGGCACCAAAAAATCGAAAAAGAATAAAAGAGGCGGCTGGAACGCTGAAAATACTTCGGTGGGCTAAAAATTCTTCCCGTTCTATCTATTTCTCTGCCCTTACCCGTTTAACTTGTTTTCCTTACAGAGGAACCGAGAACAATTACAAACTGCGATAAAGAACAGCGAAGCTTGGCTGAGCCACTGCACCGAAAGACATAATCTGCCAGTATGTAATGCCCAAATTAATTTTTATGTAATTTAAATTAATTTGCAAATATAATTTTCTAAATTTTTTAATTTTAATTTAGTGTAAAAATGAAAGAAATTTGAAGGATGATGAAATTGAAAACAATTTTGGGGAAATGGGTGAAAATTTGTGTTTTAGAATATTTTTAAAAGAAAAATTAAAAACTGGAGTCAAAATATAATTTAAAAAAGTTGTGTCATGTAGGATGCCCGGTCAGCATATCTGATAAACCAAAACGCGCTTCGTGGTAATGGATGCTGACACAGTGCCATGCGGGAGGTCTTGCAGCCGATTAGTATGCACACGATCAGACGGCCTAGATCCACTCCTGCACGCACGGATGGCCCAGATGCGTGCACTCCCCAGACGCGATCAGACG